CATTCGTGTCCTCGAACAGTAGCACGTATTTTCATGATCCCTTTTGGAATCCAATATTGACCATGTTCGAGTCCGAATTTGGAAATTTGACATTAGAGAGGAATTGTAGCCAGCTAAAATAGCTTTCTAATGCCGTCGGAACCATTTGATTTGGAGTCCGGATGAGAAAGTTATGCTCGACTACGTGGACACTACCGAAGATGTTGAGGGATCCTCTCTTCTAATTCGATTTTATTTTCCTAATTGCAACTCTTTTCTTACTCTTTGATCATTTTTGCTGCATGGACACCTAATTATCAATTTGTACCTATAACATACTAAATCCACCAATTAAAACAGAAATATAAATTAATCCATAAAAAAATCCACGTAAACGTTAACGTTGAGTGTTATTTCTACACTCCACTGTATCTTTTGTATTTAGTGTTTTTGCTATTGTTTGGTTATGCGTATTAAAGTCCTAGTATTGTATTTCGTGTTTTTAAGAACGTTGTTGCAAATGTACTTTTGCGCATATTTTTTTACATGTACGTTTGTGTATGTCCATTTGAGCGAGTGTGTTTGTGCATGTTTGTTGATTTGTATTAATGTCGTAGGATTGTAGTTTGTGTTTTCGTGATCCTTTTTGCGAATGCCATTTTGCGTGAGTACTTTTGTGCATGCTTTTGTACTTTTACTTATGTGCGTAGATTTTGTAGCTAGTGTTTTTGTGCACGTTTCTTGATGCGCATTCGTGTCCTCGAATTGTAGCACGTATTTTCATGACCGCTTTTGGAATCCAATATTGACCATGTCCGAGTCCAAATTTGGAAATTTTACATTAGACAGGAATTGTAGCCAGCTAAAATAGCTTTCTAATGCCGCCGGAACTAGTTGATTTGGAGTCGGGATGAGAAAGTTATGCTCGACTTCGTGGACACTACCGAAGATGTTGAGGGATCCTCTCTTCTAATTCGATTTTTTTTTCCTAATTGCAACTCTTTTCTCACTCTTTGATCATTTTTGCTGCATGGACACCTAATTATCAATTTGTACCTACAAGATACTAAATCCACCAATTAAAACAGAAATATAAATTAATCCATAAAAAAATCCACGTAAACGTAAACGTTGAGTGTTATTTCTACACTCCACTGTATCTTTTGTGTTTTGTGTTTTTGCTATTGTTTGGTTATGCGTATTAAAGTCCTAGTGTTGTATTTCGTGTTTTTAAGAACGTTGTTGCGAATGTATTTTTGCGCATATTTTTTTACATGTACGTTTGTGCATGTCTATTTGAGCGAGTGTGTTTGTGCATGTTTGTTGATATGTATTAATGTCCTAGGATTGTAGTTTGTGTTTTCGTGATCCTTTTTGCGAATGCACTTTTGCGTGAGTACTTTAGTGCATGCTTTTGTACTTTTACTTATGTGCGTATATTTCGTAGCGAGTGTTCCGGTGCACGTTTCTTGATACGCATCCGTGTCCTCGAACTGTAGCACGTATTTTCATGATCGCTTTTGGAATCCAATCTTGACCATGTTCGAGTCCGAATTCGGAAATTTGACATTAGACAGGAATTGTAGCCAACTAAAATAGCTTTCTAATGCCGCAGGAACCAGTTGATTTGGAGTCCGGATGAGAAAGTTATGCTCGACTTCGTGGAC